GTGTGTGTGTGTGTGTGTGTGTGTGTGTGTGTGTGTGTGTGTGTGTGTGTGTGTGTGTGTGTGTGTGTAAAATATACTTCAATAAATCAATCTAATTTTAACTAATTGAATCTTTGCTTGTTCCACAGCTAGCCTTATCTATATGTTCATACTTTTAAAATTATTAAATAATTGTTTTCACAGTTAATAGACTCATTCTGATTCTATGTAGTTTGTTGGAACTAAATCAAATAGATGCAAATAATAATAAACAAACTACAATATTTTCATTAACAATTGTCACATACTTATTCTTCCACCAATGCAGACAGAACATCATACTAAAATAGTCTGACAGTGTTCCTAGCCTTACATTATTTTTGTAAGTAAGTATTATGTGTTTAGCAAGAAACAAACAGCATGACTAGTGAAGTCAGATTCCCAAGTGAATGACTCTATGAGCCAGTTTTTCTTTGTGGTATTTTAATAAAATAAAGGGAATTCCTACAATATGATACCTCATTTTTGTTCATAGGCATTTTACATTTATTATTGAAATGATCTTTGCATTTGGAAAGAGATTTGCTTTTATATTTTCCAAATACGTCTTTCTCAAATTCAAGAGAATTTCGAACGGAACATTAAGGAGTCATTAAGAGGAATCCAAATCATTAAATTTCTAATAATTCCTATCCCTATTTATGGTGCCTTTGAAGCTTGATTGTAATTGCATGAAAATCTTCTGCATTCCACTGAAGAATGTCAGTCATACAGGTTTGGAATGACACAAGTATAACTAAATGATGACAGAATTTTTAGTTTTGGTTCAGTGCTTCCTTAAAAATAAAAAAATGTCTTCTATAATCTTGCTCAGCTCCTACATGGAACAAACACAGGGTGGGGATTACTTAGGGGTAGATTGGTCTGATGGGAGCCATAATGGGACGTCATTCAGCGGCACCCAGGTGGGAGTGACCAGATAGCCATTCCTGAGTAAGGCCTTTTCTGACAGCTCTGTTCCACCACCCTCTGGCAGCATCATCAAAAAAAACCCACAACCTTCCCCAGTTATCACTCAAATATTGAGCCTTGTCAGTACCAGCACAGAGCCTCTTCAGCAGATTATGCCAAACGGTACAGGGTCTGCTCTGCAGATAACTGCAAAATAACCCAACTCGTTCTTTATAAGATATTTATTAGCTGGAGGGGGGAGTTGGGAGGAGTGCTGATGGAAGGAAGGGTATTGCTGAGCCTGCACACTGCCATAGAAACTCATCTTTTTATTTATTTACAGAGGAGATTTCATCTCCCGTTTGGGCCACTTTCTACCAAGCAATCAAAACAGACATGCAAAGATCAGTCCTACCACCCCCTACTCCTGGCCACTGAAATTGGTCTTATTTCTGATATGTAAATTGCGTTCTACCTGAATCGCTTTGATGGTTTCTCAGCAGAATCACTGTGCACACTTGGCATTGTCTGTAGCACAGCAATGCATCAGTATTGTGAATGCGAGGGCACATTGATGAGATTCCATTGGATATAATGACTGAAATGCTTGGCCTGTTAAGCCGTATTCAAATTAGCGGAGCCTACCATGATCCTCTCGTACATTGCACTACTTGACTTATTCCTCTGCTAAATAACAAAATGGATAATAGAAAATTCAGTTGCTTTTGATGAGGCGGTGAATATTAGCAGACTGCTGCAGTGGTGATTTACTACAGCTAATAACAGATTTGTATTCAAGCATTTCTTCCCCTGTAATGGGAGGACTCACATTTTGTTGGTAGGGCTTTATGTTGAATGTATTTCAGCCTGGGGAATGTGAGATGGTGGGTTTCATTCTCTGGCATTTGTTTTTATATATTTTTAGTATTATTTAATATATTTATACACTTGTTTTACATGCACAGAAAATATTTTCATGCAAAATTCCCTCCGGAACAGATGCATATGTGCATAAATTTGTCCTGACCCTCATTCTCATTTTGATGAATACACATAATTTTCCTGATTTTTTTTTTTTTATCAGGGATCACATGCCAGTGATATATATAACACACTTGCTTAAGCATCTATGTTTATGGCTCCTAGCTCTGTGATTTTTGCATTCATGTGGTGTGAACTGGTTGGTTATCGCTCGTTCCGTCCCAGGCAATAATAATCGGTTTATTTTTTATTATGCAGGACATTAATTTAATTAATTGAATATTATGTGCAAAATAACAGTGTTCCATTTCCAAATGAAAAACAATTTTGAATATTCAGCATAGCCGAGTAAGTCTGAAACTCCAGTTTTGCTTTCTAAAAAGGTGCATTTGTGTAGTGCAAATGTGACTGTGAAGAAAAATTATTTTAATATTCCTTTGATTATGTATATTATAATAAAGAAAAGTGCTTGTGTGCGGCACCACATATTCATCAGTGAAATGACTTTTCCCAACCATTCACTCTGAATGCACGACTACAGGGCTAGTCAAAAGGATTATTGATTCTCATATAATGCTACAAGAGCGTGTTGACAATGATCTGTGCTGGGTGCTGAGCTGAGGAAACAGCTAACTAATTATAATATCACAAAGAAAGGACATATCCAAAACATAATCGTTCAAAATGCATTCATCAATATCCTTTGCATATATTTGATGCCAGAAAGGAACAGTCTTTGAGCATTGCAAATGCATTATTATTGTGTGCATGCCATGCAAAAAACATCGCAGTAATTCAAGGTGAAGTCTTAATTCTTTCCCAGACACTTCATAAAACAAACAGCTACAAAACACAGGTGCAAATGGTGGAGAGAAACCATTATGCTGTCTCTTAGGAGCTCCTTGATATATTCTTCTGTTGGAAAGCTCATTAAAAGTTGAAGCAAAAAGTTGGATTTCCATTTTAAGCGTTTTTGAAATTTCAAGAGATGTTATTACAGCGGATTACTGTAAGAAATCATCCTCAAACGCTCGACGTGTAGCAACCTGACTTTAAATGTTCTGGAAAGATTACGCAGCTTGTCTCTTGGTAATTGCTTACCTGCAGTGCTTTTTGATAATGACAGAACTCATGCGAAGGAACTGGACTCGAAAGCATTAACACCCTGCAAGTTTTATGGGGTCCCAAAGAGCGCGCAGCTATCTCACCACAATATTACGCTATTGATTAAGTAGCAAATTGACCAGTAAGGCAAGGCCTGCCGAGCTGAACCTTGCATAAAGCAACCCTGCGAAGTTGCAGCTCTTCATTATCGTCTATCTCGTAATATTCACAGTCTCTGGCAGTATCAGCATCGTAGTCCACCTTGAAACATCCTTTCTTCAGTGTCCAGATTGTAACAGCTTGTAAAATGTGCAGCACAAATGCAAATAAATTGGTTAATAAGATCTCATAAAAGCTGTTTTTAAATAATTCAGCGACTGATTAATAATTAGGGCCAGATGCACAGCATTTTCAGAAATGACTTAGAAATGAGATGTGCTGTTTTGCTTTGGCTCATGGCTAGCTTGAGATTTGGGATCCCACAAGAGGCCAAGACATTTGCCTGTGTGTCTCTGACCCCTTTACTCATGTTGAGAAGAGAGCAGAGAGTACTAATGAAGATTAAAACAAAACTTCAGATTTACGAGATTTCTGGTTTCTTTTATTGAAGTCAATGTGACTTTAGAAAAATTGCATTCACAACCCATTTTACTTGTGGAATGTGACATTTCCCAATGGAACAAGTAAAAATGTAGGGCAGGACTTGATTTTATCCATTAGGAACTGATCAGATTGTGCGAATTTGTTTCTCAGATGAAGAGAGGCTGAAAAAAATATACATACACACATTCGAAAAAAATATATATATTAGGGAAGTAATTACAGTCAGTTTTGATTTCATGTTGACACTTTTTTCTTGAGAACAGCAGGATACTGTTTCGGTTTATTTACTGTGTGGTTTTAACCCATAAAGATCCTAAAATAGCTGCTGTTCAGTCTAGTGTGGCTTTTAGTTTGAGTTATTTCTAAATGGGAGACACAGTGCGCAAGATCTCTTAATCCAACCTTGCAAAGATTCACTCATTAGCATGTGTGGAGTGGTGTGCAAGAGTGTGGAAAGTGTGTGTCATGTCACGCCGTTCTTACATCACTTCCAGTGTTGTATATGTCAGTATGGTTGAGTCAGAGTTCTTCTCAATGTCATTGTCAAAGGATTGAGGTTCTGTGAAAGGAATTGTCTGTTCTTCTCTGAGCACAGAAAGTGTATGACTCCCTGACAATCCCTCATCAAAATAATATCACGTGTTTTGTGTCTGGAGGGGCCCTCTGTTTATTTCTCACCTTATTGCAGGGTGATAGTGGAATGGTGTATTTTAAGATCCAGCTTTATTTGTGCTGTGTTCACAGGCTAAGATAGTCACTCACCTCCATCCCTTGAAAATAGCCCATGGGTGTTTTATTAACATTTTTTGTTTTGTCATTTTTATGTCATTGGCTTGTCGCAGTAATAATGGCTTGAAAAGCAGTGGTGTGGATGAATTGTGGGAAAGTGTTGTACATTAAACTGTTTTGAAATTACATTAACCAAAGACCTTTTAGCTATGTAAACTGACGCACTGCATTTAATGCATCATTAACCGTGCAGTACAAATCTCGTATGAAGAGATTAAGAGACTTGATGATGAGAAATGTCCAGTGTGTTACTGCTTCTTGAGTGAAAACTGATATTTTATAAGATGAAAGTGCCTTCATAAATGGGTGTTTCTTCAACGCCAGGCTTTATTGTACTAGGAATTGATTACAACTAATGCAGTTCAACTTCTTTTTTCAAATTTTTGTTATATAAATGTCATATTGAAACTGTGTTAACTAAATACAAAATATAAAAAATACGTCATATGAAGCAAAAAATATTTTACCGTACTTCTATATTTTCTCCTTTTAAATTTACTTTTATTTGAAAATCAGTTTATAAAGAGACTTGATAAAGAGACGTGCTTGACATGAGACATTTGATGTATGAAGTAAATCAGGGTAGAAAGGTGTGAGCAGAATATATTTTTTTATAATATCTCTAATGATTTAAATATATTTTAAATGTGTAAATATTAATATAATATTTTTTTTTAAATCAAGCTGTCATTTTGTCAAATTATGCACAAAGTGTGTGCATTATTTCTGTTTATTTAGCATACATAAAATGTAAAAAATTAAATTATCCTTTCTTTCCATCGATGTCATTTCCATCACTGAATGCTAATAAAAATAATAATATTACTTCTGATGTGGTGGAAATTATACTATGGTGGACCTTCAGGGGAAAAAAATGCTAAAAATGACCAAATTCTATTGAAATGCAGCATGTATGTTCAATGTTGGCCAAGCCAAATAAACTAGTGAAAGTGTCTCTTGAGACTTACTTTCTAAAAATCTAAAAGGGACAAGATTGCCCGAAGTTGAAGAAATATCCTCATGACCTGAATTTTTCATTGATGTTAAATCAGTCGCATTTCATTCTGTCCACACAGCTCTGAAGAAGGGCCGGTTCTGGATCACACCCGACCCCTATCATAATGACGACAACATCCAGATCGGCAGAGAGGTGAAGATATCCTGTCAGGTGGAGGCTACGCCGCCTGAGGAACTGATGTTCAGCTGGCTGAAGAATGGCCGTCCGCTGCGTAGCTCAGAGCGCATGGTCATTACCCAGACTGACCCAGACGTTGCCCCAGGAACCACAAACCTGGACATCATCGACCTCAAGTTTACTGACTTTGGCACTTACACCTGTGTGGCCTCACTAAAGAACGGAGGGATTCCAGAGATCAGCATAGACGTCAACATCTCCTCCACCACTGGTGAGTTATTCTTATCCTTTACAGGTAATAGCTGGTTTTCCTCTTTTGAGACAATTTTAACAATTTGATCATCTTCAAGATGGTATAGTAAATTATTTAGCATTGTGTTTTATACATTTAATATGCCAAAAAAAAAAAAATTCTGGCTGCATTTTGTTTGCATTTTATTTGACTTGATGTGCCCACTCTACATATCCAAGTGGCCACCCTTGGAATGGAATCCATACCACCATTTAATATTAAATAATAAAATAACATAATAATGTTGATGCTGATGAAATAACCAAGCAGTTTTTCTTCTAGTATTTATATCGTATTTTAGTTCTGCTTTATTTCAATTACCAAAACATTTTTTTAATAGTTTTAGTTCTAGTTAACAATAACAATACTGTAACCAGGGCATAAACTGAAGCTGTTAAATATCACTGCCATGAGGATTCAAAGAGATTTACTGAGAACATCAGTCTTTGAATTTCCATGTTTTAACAAGCTTGGCACTTACAGTAACATGGATTTATTAATTATAAATAGCAATTAATTAGAAATCATACATGCATTACTGAGTAAATTAAAAAAATTTGCAGTGAAAATGGGGTTAATGGCACGATGTCAAGACTCTTCGGTACAACTTCATTTGATAATCTTCAAGATGGTATAGTAAATTATTTAGCATTGTGTTTTATACATTTAATATGCCAAAAAAAAAAAATTCTGGCTGCATTTTGTTTGCATTTTATTTGACTTGATGTGCCCACTCTACATATCCAAGTGGCCACCCTTGGAATGGAATCCATACCACCATTTAATATTAAATAATAAAATAACATAATAATGTTGATGCTGATGAAATAACCAAGCAGTTTTTCTTCTAGTATTTATATCGTATTTTAGTTCTGCTTTATTTCAATTACCAAAACATTTTTTTAATAGTTTTAGTTCTAGTTAACAATAACAATACTGTAACCAGGGCATAAACTGAAGCTGTTAAATATCACTGCCATGAGGATTCAAAGAGATTTACTGAGAACATCAGTCTTTGAATTTCCATGTTTTAACAAGCTTGGCACTTACAGTAACATGGATTTATTAATTATAAATAGCAATTAATTAGAAATCATACATGCATTACTGAGTAAATTAAAAAAATTTGCAGTGAAAATGGGGTTAATGGCACGATGTCAAGACTCTTCGGTACAACTTCAAAATTATTTATTATTGAGATCAGTTTTTTACGGTGATTACATTTATTATTGTTTTACGGACTGTTTCAGCACATTACGGTTTTATAGCTTTAATAAAACAAAATAATCTCAGCCTCCCCCACTGATGACATTTTAATGATACGAACGTCAATCTAAAAGGTTTTTTTTTTCATCACGAGACATAGATAATACTGTTTCAGGATTTTTAATGTAGCCAAAATGAGTAATGTGATTTTCTGACTCATTTCATTATGCAAAATATTCTATGTTTGTTTGTTTGTTTGCCCTGGGTCTGCTAAAGAAGTCATGCTTAATCAACCTGCAGATGCAAGATCTCTCTCCCACCAGGCTCCCTGCAGTCGCAATCGGAAATACATTCAACATTGTTCTCCTCTTTTTTTTTTTTGGTCCTGTACTCATTACCATCCGTTCATATAAATCTGTCTTTCCCCCTCACCTTATGTAGGAGAGAAAATAGATTTGTCTTTTATCTTCAAAGGAGGAAAAAAATCTTATTTTTCACTGTACAGTATTTATCTGTCTTTGTCATCATCTTTCATATCCCACATTTCATACGTGCATGATAGGTTTCATTATGACAGTCCGTTTCTTGTACTGTATGAAGTTTTTTCCTGCTTTTTAAGAGAATCCCAGAAGAACGCACTCATCCTCACTACTGAACTAGGGCCCTTGTTTTCATGCAGCTCTTTTATTAATGGTGTTGAGCTTGTGAAGTGGGCCGTGGAGACATGGACACTTTATGTCCATATGCTTTGTGTACAGTAAAGTAAGATTCGTGTTTAATGGAAAGGGTCTGTGTGGCACCCCAGTGGCTAATTTCAGAGGAACTGGTGGCATTGTTGAAGATGTAGACGTCTTCAGATGTCCTGTTTCACAGAGCATGTCATTACATCAACCTGACCCCGCGGTTTCTGAGGTCTGGATTCAATCAAAATAGTTGGTGGAAAGTGTTCTGGTCAAATTGCTCAGTCATTTGGGGATTTGATGTGGAAAACTCACATTCCCTTGGACATAGACGTCCTGAGTGCCTGTCAACATTTGAAGGAATGGTACAGGTTGAGTACAAGGTAGAGTCAGTCGATAGCATTTGTCGATTACAACTGAAAAATTTGTTTGTTTCATCTCTTAGTTAAAGAGGTCCTATTATGCTTTTTCACTTTTTCAACTTTTTCAACTTTAGTTAGTCTGTAATGTTGCTGTTACAAAGTTCAAAGTCCACTACAAAAGGAGATATTTTATTTAACAGAAATCACTTTTCAAAAACTACAATGAACGACTCGTTTGGACTACAACGCAGGTTGAGAGAGACACCCCCAAAACAAAATCAAGACTTTGTAAAAGAGCATAATAGGACCCCTTTAGGTAAAATGAGTAAATGAGGCCAGGCAATAAATGTTAAATGTTTAATTTACAAACTGTTATAGTCACAACTATAGCTTGACAGTATTTACATTATGTATTGACGTAAGATTAAAGTAGTAGAATAGCTTACTAACCTTGTCTGTGTAAAATTATATTCAATCTTTTGTCGTCTTGACATTGCAACAGAGATAAAGCCTGTAAACCCAGTAACCTTCGCACAATGTCCGTGAAAGGATACCAAGAAGAAAGGTGACAACATCCTTGTTTACATGGAGCTGAGCCGGTAGTTTGCCAGACTGTTGTCTGGAATCAGCAGAAGAACATAAACCTTGTCTCCTTCCTGTTGTCTGCATATGTTTATGATGTCTGACGGTGAAAACCAGCCAGAAATGTTTTTATCTGACACTTGGTGGATAGTATAGTATAGTATAGTATAGTATGTGACTCTGAAGACTGGAGTAATGGCTTCTAAAAATGCATCTTTGCCAATACAGCAATAAATAGCATTTTTTATATATATAAAAATGGAAAATTTTATTTTAAATTGTAATAATATTTCCAAAATATACAATGTTGGTGCAGCCTTGGTGATAATAAGACACTAGAGGTGAGAGGTATGACCAAAATCTTATATCACGATATGAATAATTTTATTTTACGGTAACGATATATATCACAATATAGTTATTTTTGCTTTAAATACGGTCTTTATGATATAAAAAATTTTGGTACCATTGAAATTTCATAATTTGTGTCACCAACATCAATATAACAAAAACAAAAAAAACGAATACTGGCCTAAATTAAAAAAAAAATAAAAAATTGATAATTGATAATAAATTGATAATTGATTGCCTAATTGATAGAGAGTCAGACTTGTAACCCGAAGGTCGCGGCTTCGAGTCTCAGGTCTGCTGACAAGATGTCTTTGTTGATGTACTGGCAAAACTGATACAGATATTATATCTGTGACAAATAACTAGACGTTTATTCGCCTAGTTTATATTATATTATATTATATTATATTATATTATATTATATTATATTAATTATATTTATTATATTATATTATGCACCTTGCTTCAATGCAATTAAATACAATTTAATTAAAATGTACCTGCCTTTGTTTACTGACCTATAAACAGTAGGGCTGTGACGGTATGGGATTTTTCTTCGAGTCTCAGGTCTGGCAGGAATTGTCGGTGGGTGGAGTGAATAACCAGCACTCTCTCCACCTTCAATACCACGACTGAGGTGAGACCCTTGAGCAAGGCACCGAACCTCCAACTGCTCCCCGGGTGCCACAGCATTGGCTGCCCACTGCTTCGGGTGTGTGTTCACGGTGTGTGTGTTCACTACTGTGTGTGTGCACTTGGATGGGTTAAATGCAGAGCACAAATTCCGAGTATGGGAATTGGCCACACGTCACTTCACTAAATAAGAAATGCTACATACATTGTATAAAGTAATCAAAATGTATAAAACACTGCATATTCTTCACTGTGTAAATTAAAAATATATTTCTTCTTATTAAAGTTACAAAAGTGATTTAGTCAAGAGCAGTGAGATTTTCTCACATTTGTTGTTTGATTAACATGAATGACAGACAGCAGGAATATTACACTGCTGTCACTTTGAGAGCTATCTGGATCTAATATACTGTTACACATGTGTTTTTTTTCCACAGCTGTTTGCTTTCATTTAAGACTTAAATTACTGTGTTTATGAGGATACTTGCAAAGATGGCCATTTTGACACATGCAAGTGTGTGTATTTAACCATTCAAGGCCTGTAAAGTGGCAAAAATAACTCCATTCAATACTCCCACGCTCTATGAGCACCATCTCAGTGCACACATATAGCAAAATTAGTTCTCTTTCACTGCCGATTGCGTTTCAATGGCTTGAAGTCACTTGTTTTTAAACCGCAATGCTTAAAATTGTGTGCAAATGCTTTCATGACTATGTAGTACAGCAACGTCAAGTGAGCGTGTAACCGCGATAGAGACAATAGTCCAAAATCTCTACCGGTTGACAAATTTCTGATCGTTGATCGTGTCTACCGGTACATTGCCTACCCCTATATGACACTAAACATTAAAAAACCTTCCCAATCCCAAACTTTTGAGTAGTGTAGTATACAAACTTTTGTAGTATATGTACATTTTTTTCTGGTAATTACATCATTATGTAATAAATGCTATTGGACCCGGAACATTCCATTCCAGACCTAATGCTTTTTGCATACAGTAACATATTTTGTGCAGTAAAATGATGCATTGTGATATTTTTATAGCTCATTATAATATGAATATTGTGATCATCATCTGCTCTCTTCTAGTTCCACCCAACCTGACCGTCCCACAAGAAAAGTCCCCTTTGCTCTCTCAGGAGGGAGACACAGTAGAGCTGCAGTGCCTGGTCTCCGGCAAACCCAAACCCATCATCCTTTGGTCCCGTGCCGATAAAGAAGTACCCATGCCGGATGGAAACATGCAAACCGAAAGCTACAACGGAGTTCTGCGCATCGTCAACGTCTCCCGTGAGATGGCTGGGACGTACCGCTGCCAAACCAGCCAGTACAATGGCTTCAACGTCAAACCCCGAGAGGCCATCATGGAGCTCATAGTGCTGTGTAAGTAATGGACGTGTTTGTTGCTCATGCACTTTAGCTGGACCTAATTAACTTACATTCAGGCTAGAACATATGTTTCTGTCGAGGTTGATTGGCAAACAATTAATTTTCTGTAGAAATAAATGAAAAAAGTATAGGGGCGTCATTAATTGTAATTACAGACAACCTTGGTGAGCGATGCACATTGCTGATCTTTTCTGCATGTCTCATTAAGACTCGCCGATTCAGTTAGCGCAGGTGCAGAGGTTAATGCAATGTAATGCATTCCATATTATCATATTATCAAAGCATAGCATGAATGAATTGCTGAAGAGGACTTTGACTCAGTTTGACTCGAAAAATACAGGCAAGTGAGAGTGTCAGGTGTAAGTGTTAACAATCATTTATGGGGAAAGTGAAAAACATTTCCATATTCTCCCCTACATTTTATAGAATATCAAATTATAGTCATAATGCAAATGAGATATTGCATACACTTCGTCTAAAGTATGTGAAGAGATTTTAATTAAGTATCTGGCATTTTAGACATGTCAGAAAGATCTGTTTTTCCCATAATGCACCTGTCATCTTGTTAATAGCTTGCATGCTAATGGACATGTGTTAGAAGCAACAATGGCATACAGTATAAAGCTCTTCCCAAGGCAGACTGTATGTAGTCTTTTATCCAGTTGGCCTTCTTGAGCGCATTGTTCTCAGCCACCGCTCTTAAATGTACTGTATGGCATGACAGTTATGCTTTGTAAAAGAACTACATTTCAGGACAATTCACGCATTTAAACACGTTTCATACATTTTGTATCGAAGAAAATAGTTTAAATGAGATCTGTATATGCCTTAAAGGTGCCATAGAATGCAAAAAATCACTTTTATAAGGTGGTTGAACAGTTGTGTGGCCGCAGTGTGTGAAAACAACAAGCCTATAATGGTAAAAATCCACCCACTCATTGTTTTATAATCCCAATAAATCATAAACAGTCTCTCCAAACAAGCGGTTCCAGATTTCTCACTACTATGACTTCATACTCGGGAAAGTCCTGACCATTTTTGACAATCTCTGCCCTATTAGCATAGACACAGCCCTGAGTGAGAAGCAGCAGTCCGCCATTACTGTTTTCTTGCTGTAGCTGCTGGAGATACAATGTCAGCGCCAAAGAGCCATTACAAGTGTCATGTGTTGGGATGCACCAACGAACATAGGAGTCTCCATAGACCACTGAGGACACGGTGGTTAATTTAATTTTCGAAGGAAATGTCCCGGGAAAAAAAACGGAAAAGTCCTATACGTTTGTGCTACCATTTTACGCCGGACTGCCTCACAAACGAGCGTCAGTTCAGCGCTGGAGTTGTGCAAAGATTGCTTCTGAAAG